CTATGAATGTAGGTGTAGTTTTGAATGTATGAACACAGATTAATTCCAATAAGTGAAGAAAATAGCATGTATCCTTAGTGTTCATCTTCAAGGTGTTTTTCATTAAAGTCCCTTCAGTACAGCACTGTTTACTATACAATCTCATGTCAAGTTTGCTCACATTAAATCCTAGTAAGGTAAATTATAAGATGTCTTAGAAACTGAGGACACGGGGCCGGCCTGGTGGTGCAGCGGTTAAGTTTGCACGTTCCGCTTCTTGGCGGTGCAGGGTTCGCCAGTTCGGATCCTGGGTGCAGACATGGCACCACTTGACACGCCACGCTGTGGTAGGCGTCCTACACATAAAGTAGAGGGAGATGGGCACGGATGTTAGCTCAGGGCCAGGCTTCCTCGGCAAAAAAGAGGAGGACTGGCAGCAGTTAGCTCAGGGCTAATCTTCCTCAAAAAAAAAGAAACAGGACATACATTGTTGTGATACTGCAAGTGTAACAGATTCTCTGCATATGCTTCATTCATCCATCCATTTAGCCATTTGTCAGATATTTAATGACCACGTACTATGTACCAGGGAATGGTACAGAGAATAAGAGAGACAATGTTCTTGCTATAATGGACCTTAATTTTCAATTGAGACTGAGGAGACAGTCAAACAAGTCAATACATGATATTTTTCAGTTACTGGTATGTGCTGTGAAGAAAGTAAAACTGGGTAGTAGGCTTGAGAGCATCTCCATGAGTTGGGTGAGACGCTTGGTGTGAGACCTGAATGTCAGGAGCCAGCCCTAGAAGGTCTGGGGTGGGGCAGCTGAGGGAGAAGGAGCAGCAAGTGCGCTGGCCACGGGGCTGGACTAGTTGGGTGAGTTTGAGGAACCCAGAGGGAGCTAGCATGTCTGAAAAGGCCTTGGGATCAGGGTAGGGGGCCAACAAATGAGGTCCAAGAAGTAGGCAGAGGCTAGATTTAATTCTAAGAACAGACCGTCAGAGGCATTTAATCAAGGGAGTGGTATGATTTGATCCATATTTTAGAAGCTCACTGTGGCTGCTGTGTAGAGAATGGATACTAGAAAGAAGGACAAGAGAGAAAGCAGGGTGACCAGTTCAAAATATCAAGACCAGTCGGTTGAAAATCCTGAAATTGTCAGTATTTTTGCAGTGTATCTGTCTGTGAATTATACTCATACATCAGTCCTTGTGTGTAGATCTTTGCACATTCGTCCAATTATTCTTTAAGACAAATTTCTAGAAGCAGAATTACTGGGATAAAGGGCATACATATTTAAAATTCTGATTGCTGATACTCAGCCGCTTTGCAGACAGGTTGTTACCAATTTTCACTCCCATTGACAGTGAGTGAGAGAACCAGTTTTCTGAACCACACCAGCACTGCACATTTCTCATCCTTGCCAACCTGGAAAGTGAAAAGATGTTAACTGCTCAAGTGCAGAATAGAAGAGACAGGCTTGACAGCAGTTTGAACAAAGAAATCATGGCAATCTTAGCAGGAACTGAGGGTGTGACATTGCTGTCAAACACGCACAAGGGAACCCTAGCTCTGTTTACATAGCCCCTGGGGGTAGTCATCCCAGTCCTGTGCCCAGTGCGCTCAGGCCATATCCACATTGGTGGTCACTTCTGATCCAACGTTTCATGGATATTCACAAGCCGGAGAGTATTCCAAGATTAGCAGCGACCAGTATAATTCAACCCACTTGAAAGCAGAGCTTGAGGGGGTTGGCTGAAGGAGTGCTGGAGTTGTTCAGTTCGAGAACAGAAACTTTGGAGAAATGCAGTAGTTGTCTTGAACTATTTGAAGAGCTGCCACATAGAAGAGAATGTAGACTGATTCTGTGTTGCCCACGAGGACAGACAGACATTTAAAGAAAGGATGGAATTTTTGACTCAACCTGGAGAAGATGGTTTTAACAATTAGCGCTGTTGAAAATGGAGAGGTCCTTATTGCTGGAAGTATTCAAGCAGAACTCAGTGATGATCTCTCCAGCGTGCTGTGGAGAGGGACTTTCTGTGCTGAGTGGGAGGCTGGATAGCATCTCGGCTCCCTTTCAGTTCTGAGGCTTGTGGTAATTTATCGACTCTTAGGGTACATGGAAATTAGATAAATTTAGCCCTTGAAATAAAACCTGAGAGAAAAACAGACCCAGGCCTTCTAAAGAGGGGAGAGAGAATTGTCTCCTCCCACCAGCCCTCCTCTCTGTTTTGGCTGTGCTCTTCAGGAGGAGGCCATTGCTGGCTCATCATGGTGACTTGCCCCACTTCCTGTGAGTGCTTAGGAGGAAATGGACAGCTAATGTCACCACTCCTGCTGTCAGAGGCCAGGGAAGAAGAGAAGGGGTCGGAGTAGGGAGAATCTTTAACTACAGATCACATCCGTCTTCAGAAGTGGCTGGAGCTCCCAGATCTTTGCAGCTCAGCTATTGACTGAATTGAGTCCTTAAATGAGGCTGCAGCAGTTGGTCACCATGTAGCTGAAAAGACGGATTGGGAACTCCCCGTGTCTTAGCCAACAACCAGAGATTTAACCCTAGAATGGAGCATTGCTTGAGCTTTGAACCTGGGGCTTCAGCTGGGCTTCGTTGGAGAAGTGGAGTGGGGTGATGTGTTCGGCAGCCTCGTACTTGCCACCAAGCCCTTGAGACTGTTTTGATCTGGTCTCCGCTCCCCAGGTCTAGCAATGATGCAGTTCACGGGCAGGCCCAGCTTTTCAGAATAAGACAGGCAATACTGCAGGTGGGAATGTTCTGTGCCTGACCGTGGGCCCTTTGTTCTCCTGTTGAAATTTAGTTAGAGTTTGGTACCAGCTGCTAGACCTTGGGCCACAGTCACTCGGAGAGGAAGTGTTTGGGTTCAGGTGAGAGCCCTAAGATTCCAGCCTTCAATCCAGAACACAGATCCAAAGGCTTGGCCTCTGGAGGCAGTTTGGGGAAAAATCGTGAACTCTGGAGTTGGCTCACCTGGGTCTGTCCCAGCTGTGAGGCCCTGGGCATGTCGGCCTCTCTACACGTCAGTGGCCTCATCTGCAAAATGGAGATAGTGATCTGTGTAAAGTTGCCACCAGATCCTCACTGAGTGCTCACTCTAGTCCCTCCTCTTCCTCTGCACTGTGAAAACAGCTTCTGTCAGGAATCCCAAGAACTAGATAATAAAGCATCGTTTTGTAAATGTTATTATCATGTGATAGAGAAGATGCAGCTTGCGGTAAGCTAGTGAACTGCTCCCAGTTGCCAGTCTCTGACTTCCAGCATTCTCACGGGTTATCGTAGCCTCATGTTCATCTGCATAATTCATCTATCGGCTGTAGAAAAGGGTATTCATGTTTCAAATTAATTTTGAGCAATTTATTGAAAGCCAGCCTTTCTTTTTTCCCTCCAAACCCTGATATTAAATCCCAATCACCTTAGAATAGACGGGGCACTTACAACAAGGCTGTTTATTTCCATTAACTTTTCCAAGGTTTTAGGTGACCAAAGACTGGTGATAAAGCATCCTTACCTAATCTAAGCAGGGAATTATGTGGAGGTGGGCATGATAGTTGTCTGTGATTTTTTTCCGTTTTCTCCCACTAGATCTTTCTGCTCCACCACACTGATTCCCCCTAAGAGAACAGAGGTTTGGCCTGAGCCTCCTTCCCTGAGGTCCATTTCCTCAAAGGTTAGGCCACATCTAACCCGCTGGTGGGTGGTTGGGGTGGTGCTCTTTGCGTAGGGAGACAGTATGACCAGAAGTTAATGTCTGCAGAGTCAGAACAAGTCCAGCATCTTACTTTCACTCACTCATAGAAGAGAAGACTTGCAGGTATCCTGGGGCAGGGGTCATGTGTGGGAAAGGCATCTTAGCCATCTCATTGAATCATTGGCCTGAGAGCCTGAATGGTTGCTGCTCCTGGTTCACAAGCTTCTCAGCCTTTGCATCCTTACCCTGTCTCTAAAGAAGTCACAGCACGAAGTGAGCTGAGCTGAGCTTCTTTCTAGAAGTGCGGTAGGATAGTTTATGAAAACTTTGCTGTCTTTTCCCATTCCTAAGAACTTCTCCAGTAAGATAATCCTATAACAGAATTATTTATAAAAAGCTGTGACTACATTCCTACATCTGGCATAGTTTAACCCCAGTCAAGGATGATGGTGGTGATGATGATTGTCATTGAGGAAAACTAAACCTTTTATGTCACAAAGTAAGGAAATTACAAAAAGACTGACTGTCTTTTTGTAATGTCATTCTTTCTTTCCCTGTAGATCTAGGGACCTTGTTCTTAGGATGTTTCTTTTAGAACTTGGTAACATAAGTCACTTAAATCAGGTCACCCATAAAACTCTCTTTTGGGAACATAAACATACTATATGTAATACTTTCTTATATGTGTGTTCCTCGTCTGTAGACATTAGGGTTGCAACATGTAACTTACTCATTCCGTTGTCCCAGCTACTCTCATGATCTATAAATCCAAGTAATACCATGAACAAAATGGAATGGCTTTCAGATCTTAAGCACTCCAGACATTTGCTCTGTCAGCATTTCTCAAGTTTGACCCCCAACATGCAAAAGAGAGAGAATACGTAGTAGTGGTAGATGGGAGGGCGTTGGGTTCTGGGGGCAAATACAGAGTGATTACTTGGTTTGTGAACTAGCAGTATCTGGGAGTTCTTTAGTCCATAGAATTATGTGTCCTTAAAATAGTACATTTTGTCCAAATAAGGTGAACAGGTCATCACATGGTTTGTTTTCATCTCATTAGCACCAGTGAAGTTCATGAATGTCTTCCAACAGACAGCAACATTTTTGGATAGCACTTGCAAGAGCTTTAAGAGGAGTTCAAGGAGATTATACGGTTTTAGAAAGAGAGATGTCACTGTATAAATTATACCCCGTATCTCTTAACTAAAGAAAATTTAAGTACCAACCCCTAAATAAAATATAAGAAATGTAGAAGAAATAAACCAACTCAGTTTTTTGCTAAATCACATTTTGTGTGTGTATGTTCTTTCTAGGCATATGAAGATTCATGAGAAAGACCCTAACAGTGCGACGGCTGCAGCCCCTCCATCCCCACTGAAGCGCAGGCGGCTGTCCTCCAAAAGGAAACTGAGTCACGATGCCGACTCGGAGAAAGAAGACCCAGCACCTGCTAAAAAGGTCCTCTCTGCTCCCAGCGCAGATGTGTCTACCCACGGGACTCTTGGCAGAAATAGCTCTAGTCTTTATTTTCGCGGTTCGGGGACTTGGCAGACATCCATCCTAAGCTTTTCTCCTGTGTTTTCCCACCCTGTTTTGTAAGGTGTCTGCAGAAAAGAGTACCTGTGTGTGCCTCCTCTGTGGAGCCCCCTCGCTGAGCCCACTGATGGCATGAAGAGCTTTCTCATTGTTCCCCTGCTTGTTTCTCCAGCTAGAATGGAGGCTTCCTAAGTGTTGAAGAGTCTCTTGTCCTTACTCTTTCATTCTCAGTGCCTGTCCATTACCTGCTGCTCCATAAATATCTGTTGAATGGATGGGTAGATGGATGGATGGATGGTATCATTCAGTGAGTATTTTTTTCTGTGAATGAAAGAGTGGTCATTAGCATCCTTAATATGTAGGAGGGAGAATCCTTTTATATAGTCTCTGGATTTAGTGTTGGCTTCTTTTCTGAAGCAAACCCATGTGGGAGGCCCCTTTCACAATCTCACTTTTTTCTTTGCCCTCAGATGGTGGAAGATGGGCAATCGGGTGACTTGGAGAAGAAGGCTGATGAAGTGTTTCACTGCCCAGTATGTTTCAAGGAGTTTGTTTGCAAGTATGGACTGGAGACCCACATGGAGACTCACTCAGATAACCCACTAAGGTAGGAGAAAGGGCGGAATATACCTCTACCCTGGAAAGCTCTTTTCATTCCTCTTTCTCCTGGCATCTGACATAATCCTATTTCCCTTACTCCAAACTGGGCTGAAATGATTTAACTTGGGTGTGATGACGTTAATAAGGCAGTTAAGAATGGTGTGTGTTGTAGAGAAGAAGTTAGGCTGAGAAGTGTCAGAGAGAAGGTGGCTGTAGCCACAGGATGTGCTCACTGTGTTTCACTCTGCTTCCTTCGCTCCTGGCGAGGCCCCTGGAGCAATCACCATGAGCCCCCCATGCACAGGGAGTCTCCTATCACAAGGGGTCTTTGGGCAGCAGATGCATTTTCTTCACAGAAGGTGTTGCAACCCAAATGATGGTTAGCTGTGCTCCAGTGTGTGGTCAGCACAGGAAGGGCCTATCTGGTGTGCGTGACTGGATTATGCTGGTAGCACAGAAACATAAGAAAGCCTTTTGAGGGGCTGGCATAGTGGTGTACTGGTTAGGTTTGCGTGCTCCGCTTCGGTGGCCCAGGGTTCACAAGTTCAGATCCCAGGCGTGGACCTAGCACCACTTGTCAAGCCACACTGTGGCAGCATCCCACATAAAATATGGGAGGATTGGCAACAGATGTTAGCTCAGGGCCAGTCTTCCTCACAAAAAGAAAAAAAAAAGGCAAGACAAATTTCTACTTCGTGCAAGACCCTTGACCTATAGTGAAGCCAGTCACAGTAAAACCAGGGATAGGTGATTGTTCTGCTGGTCCAGGTTCAATTTTAGGTCTTTGCTGGCTCCAGTTTTTCTGATCCTCAGCCTTCTCAGGCAGAAAACGTGGATAGTAATCTGACTTTTCAGCAGAATTCAGGGTTGGGGCTTGGGAGGGCTCAGCTTTCTTTCTTTACCTTCTCTGAGAACTTTTTCCTCAGGCGCAAAGTCCTGTGCTCTTGGTGAACAGATAGGCTTGAAACCTTTTCCTATGGAATCCCCACTTTTCAAATGCTACTGCCATAGTTTTTAGGCTTTGAAGAGAACAAGGCACCTAGGGGAGCGTCTGGTGGACTTGAAAGTAGCACATCCTGAAGGGCACAGCTGAAGGTTCACCCTGAGCAGAGGCCAGCACATGCGTGGTTGCAGCTTTGGGTTTCGGAAGGCAGCTCGGGAGTGTAGAAATCTGGACATCTGTTCGTCTGACTCATCGATACACGGACCAGGTTTCCTTCCTCAGGACACGAGTTTGGTTGTGACTTAGAAGTGAAAAGATCTGAGCAAGCTAAAGACTTTTGTGTTGGGGGAAAAAGCCTAATTGTATGGTAACTGAAAGCCATGTCAAATATCATTATCCTTAATCACAGTAACTTGACATTTTTCCATGAGGGGGAAAAAAGAATTTATGAAGAGTTTAAACTACTGAGCAATTGAAGTGCTATAAAATGTCTATGTAACTCCTCTGTCTCAGGAACGCGTAGGAGTGGGCATGTACTGGCGGTCAGGACCCTGGGATCCCAGTCCTGTCTCCGCTCACATGGGACCTCGACCAGCTGTATCTGAGCCTTGAGGAAGAGCTGGACCAGTTAATCCCTCTGTTCCCTTTCAGGCCTTAAATTCTGCAATTATGTCTCTTAATAGCTGTTCCTCTGTCTACTGAGAGAAAGCATTGGCGCTTCCTTTTGTAGGCCCTGTAGTTCTGAGAGATTCAGGAACTTGACTTCATGGTTTCATTAACGTCCACAGCATCTCCAGGATGTGGGCTTGTGGCGGGTGGTAAATATTGAAATAGCTCTGTCGACCGAGGACCTGAGCAAACAGAGGTGAAGTTACCAGATGAGCCTCACGTGGCGAGTCATGGGCAGAGGCAGAATAGCATGTGGGACCCCCCACTCCTGGCTAGCATTCCTGCCAAAATAGTCGTCTGACCCGGCAGTACAAGAATGAAGGCACTGCCTGCCCCTGAGCTCCTCCATATGTTTTATTTCACTTCATGCTTTATTCTGTGATCAGATATCATCTCAGGAACTACCCATTTGCCCCCTTCTAGATAATTCTGTCCAACAGGGAAAATAATTTGACTCTCACAAGAGATTTCTGGGCAGCTGGAGCCTGCACAGCACAGTGTATGGCAGTGATAGAGGAAGATCAAGTGTCACTTCTTAAATGCTGGCCTGCACGAGGGTGTGGGTTCTCCTGGAACGGGGCCTTTTGAACAAGCACCTACTCCAAGGACAGGCTGGGTTGGCTACTCAGAGCGGATGAAGATGGGAATTGCATTGGACACTGGTTGTCCCGTTCTGCACGATTTGGTGGATAATTCACTCACCATGACTCCAAGGCTGACAGGGCAGACAGGCTGTGAAGTGGAACCTCAAGCTCTGCTGGTTTCCTTGCCTACTCAGTAATAACGCCCTTTGTCTGGTGAGGGGTTTACTGGAGAAGTTTGTAGCCTGGCGGAGACTCAGCCCCTCCTGGCAGGCTTCCATCCCACTAGAGCCCCAGGATGCTGTACCCACAGCATCGGGCAGTTGCCATAAGAAGAGGCTGTTTCACATCCATTGTAGGGGGCAAGCAGGCCATTCCCTGTCTAGTGGCTGTTGCTATGTGGGGTGGGGCTTGCGTCTAGAAACCAAAAGGAGTTGATTACAGAACATAATTTCCCTTTTCTCCTCTCTGCTCTGCCGTTGCACATAATAGTCTGCTATCAGAGGAGGCCATGGGGCAGGCATGAGCCGGCAGGGCCCAGATGGGCAGTGAACTGTGACAGTAGTTGGTGGGAGAGACTGCTTGTTAACCCAGAGCTAAAAGAGACACCAACTCCATTTGCAAACCCCAGAGGCAGCAGAACCACAGTGGGATGCTACCAGTTTAGATAGCAAGTTTATAACTCAAAACAGCTGTTGGCTTCTCTCTCCTGCCCTTGCTCCCCACCCCCAATGCTGGCAAGGTGCCTGTTGTTCCTTAATAAAAAGCTTTGGAAATCCAAACTCGTGTAAACGCTGAGGCCGCTCTCTTCCATTCCTGTGTTTCAAATTAATGATGTGTTAGGGTAGAGCAAAAGGAGGACACGAAGCCACTTGTAGCAATTCTAGTTCTTAGTGTCAGGTGTTACTTGCGCCCTGGCGTGACCAGCGGTATATTGGCCCCTCTTTACAGCCCCCTAGACAAGGAGAAGTGCTGGGCTTATTGAGAGCTGGCATTTGGAACTGGAAGTGATAGACAGAGTATTCAGCAAGCAGGTGGATGCAAAGAGGACAACATCCCTGTGTGAGGGTGTTTCGGGGTGTTAGATATCTTACTTGGTTATAAGAATAGAACAGAGTAACAAGCCGTACACTGCCACGAGTCAAGTTAGCTGAGAGGGAAGTCCAGGTCAGCGCTGACCAATACAAATAGGATGTGAGCCACATATGTCATTTAAAATTTTCTAGTAGCCACATTTTAAAAAGTAAAAAGAAACAGGTGAAATTGATCTTGCTTTGTTGATTATACCACTGTATCCAAAACATGATGTCAGCATATAATCATTATAAGAATTGTCAGCAATATATTTTACATTCTTGTGTATCTGTGAAGTCTTTGCAATCCTGCATGTGGTACTATTGCAGCCCATCTCATGTGAACTAGCCACCTTTGCAGTGCTCAGCTGCCCACTGCGCAGGTGCAGGTCTAGGACAAGCCCACCTGTGGCAGGGGTGGGAGCCAAGTCAGCGCTTTGCTGCAGAGGCCCCTGGTTTCATGTCTGAGTAATTGTCTCAGGCTCACCAGAGCTAGGCTGGGAGGGGCGACAGCTGGACAGTCACCATGGCTCTGTGGCTGCTGCTGAGGGTGAAATTTGGCAAAAGTTATTGTATAATCTTAATACAGCTTCTTGATTAAAGGAGATCAGGTAATAAATAATTTTTAAATTATTTCAGTTAAAATGTATCCAGCGAATGATTAAGTACTCATTTTGTGCCAGTCACTTGCCCAGACTTGAGAAAAAAATCGTGATGTTGGAGATAGGGTCCCTCAGGCCAGTCAGAGAACAAGAGAAAGGGTGGTTATAAAACAGAGTGAAGGGGGTAGACTCAGGGCCCAGTGGTCCAGGCAGAGGGAGCCTCATCCCGTCGGTGTATGGCGTCCCTCCACGTTCACCTCCAGTATGGCGGCGCTTCACTGTTTCCTCGGGGTCGAGGCCCTCCTCCGTCTGATTGAATTTTGATCTTGGTTGTCTGTAAGAAAAACTTGAAGGCGATGCCCTTAAATCTGTGTCAGGAATTTGGATGGGGGAACCCGAGTGGGCTCTGACCAGCACACTCTGTGTGAGGCAGGGTTAGTGCTGCTGCAGGCGTGGAGGGTGGGCTGAGGAACCTCCCTTGTCCTGGCGGTAGAGAGGTGCCAGAACCTTCTTTCTTCTGGATTCTCAAGTGTTCCAAAGAATGTTCAACTCCCTTCACTGCACATTCCCCCCCCCCCCCGACACACACACACACACCCATCATCTGCAGGGAGACACTAAGACAATTCACATAGCATTGGTCCTACACTTGTTAAATGTCATCCTACAAATAGGGAAAGGATATAACAAAATATTCATCAGCATCTTGTCTTTAAGTGTCCCAGGGGTCTGAGGCTCTGCCAGTTGGAGGCAGATTCAAAACAATGCTGGGGCCTGGTGGTGGAGGGGAGGACACTTCCCCCTGGCTGGCCTGGAAGTCGGAGGTGCCTTTGTCAAATCTGCCCCCACTCCACTCGGCCCAAGGGAGCCTCTCTGGCCCAAGGAAGCCTCTCTGGGACTTCTGGGCTCACCCCAGCCCACCAGTTGTGAAGTCCCTCAGACCTGCCCTGGCTTCACGCCACGCTGGTTTGGTTGAACAGTTTGAGCAGGGTCGGGACGCAGTGTGCAGCCTGGTGGCTTCCTGGGTGTGGGGAGGGCAGCCCCTGTCACAGAGCCGCACTGTTGCTCCCAGCAACTGGGAGAGATTAGTGCAGCTGTTGGATGTCAGTTCTCTGGCTGGGAGGGGAGGGAGGTGGAGG